GGAGCGCTACAAAGGCAGATTGGTGGCCAAAGGCTACAATCAACGACCTGGCTTCGACTACCTCGAAAATATTGCGCCCACAGTCAGAATGCCCAGCATAAGAGTCGTCCTAGCCATGGCCGCCATTCCGACCTCCACCTGCGCTCTATAGACATATCTCATGCCTACCCTCAATGGGAGATGGACTGCGACGTCTACATGGAGCAGCCTGAGGGATTTGTTGAAGGAGATGCCAAAGAGATGGTTTGCTTGTTGAAGAAGAGCATATATGGCACCAAGCAAGGAAGGCAAACAGATGGAACCAGAAAATGCGCTCTGTGCTCGAGTCTTTGGGCTACACTCAGTCCTACTCAGACGCGTCCATCTACATCTATCTAAAGGACAATGTAAGGATCATTCTGCCAGTCTTCGTAGATGACATGACCTTTGCTTCGAAATCTGCTGCTGCCATCGACCGCACCATCAAGGAGCTCTCCCAGCACTTCAAGCTTCGCGATCTCGGTCCCACCACTCAGCTTCTGGGCATTCAAGATAGACAGAGACTGGTCTAAACACTCCATCACCATATCTCAACAGCAGTACTGTCTAGACATCCTCGAGCGTTTTGGCATGGCTGATTGCAAGCCCATATCCACTCCCATGCAGCCCAACCTTCGACTCAGTCGCTCCCAGAGCCCCCAGATGCCTGAAGAGGTCCAGCTCATGAAGACCGTCCCATACCTGGCTGCAGTAGGCGCCCTGATGTACCTGGCAACAACAACTCGACCAGACATTGCCCACGCTGTTGGTTATCTTGCCAGATTCAACTCGAATCCAGGATTAGCTCACTGGCAAGCTGTCAAGCACCTGCTTCGCTATCTCAGAGGTACTGCCGACTACAAGATCACTTATGCGCCTGATCCATCAAGCACCGAACTGTTCTCAACCTATTCCGATGCTGATCATGGTGGATGCAAGGACACAGGGCGCTCCACTGGTGGATACTTGGTGAAGATCGGCTCTGGAGTCGTCTCGTGGTCTTCTAAGCTAAAAAGCATTGTTGCGCTATCTACTACCGAAGCAGAGTACATCTCTGCAGTCTCAGCAGGCAAGGAGATCCGATGGATGCGAAACTTGCTGCAGGAGATGGGATTCTCTACCACTGCACCATCCATACTTAGAATAGACAACCAGAGCGCCATATCTGTTGCCAAACACCCAGAACACCACGGGAGGATGAAGCAACTGGATCTTAGTTGGTATTGGCTCAGAGACGTTGTTCACAAAGAGATAATTGCGCCTATCTTTGTGTCCACAGCTGATCAGCCAGCTGACATCTTGACAAAGTCTTTGAGTCGACCCAAGGTGGAACTATTTTGCAGAATGATGGGACTACACAGATGAGGGGGGAGTTGTTAGAGATTAGAGATGTGTTCAGTCAGGGGGGAGTGTTAGTTGTGTGGTGACTTCACACCAGATAGGTCGAAGACTTCTAAGACTTCGAAGACTTGAAGGACACTTCAAGGACATTACTATATTAGTAGATAACTTCGAGGACTTCAAGGACACTTCAAGGACATTACTATATTAGTAGATAACTTCGAGGACTTTGAGGACTTCGAGGACACTTTGAGGACAGACCTCTAAGACACTTCGGGGACACATACCATACTAGGAATTGTTTATATTTGTTTACATAGACTCGCCCATAGTGCAGAGTTCACAAGTCTTACATGCTTTGTGCATTGACTTTGAACTCTCAGGTACAGTACTTTACTTATTTACACAATAATATCAAGTGCATTGACTTTGAACTCTCAGTTCTTCTAACAAGATGTTCAGTATACTCCATATTGTAGTTATCCGTTGTGCTGTACAAGCGAATCATTGATATGTAGTGACGAATGGCGTGAAGCTTCGGAAGATTGAAATGATGTTGAATACCAAGGTTGACAAATATTTGTTTGTTGTCGTGGAATAGGGCAAGAGCTTCGTTGAGGAGAGATAATGACTCTGAGCTATGGCACGGATATCGTGCTAAGTAAAGGAAATCTAGGAGACCACAGATTGCACGTAAAAGACATGCCAAAGAGAAACCACCGGGAAGTCGAACATCAATAATTACACCAAGGATAAAACAACATATTTGAGCATGCTCGGTGCCGCTAACACAAGAGAGACCAGTTATTGTTATGACTTGGATGGTATCTGTTGGCGACGCTCAAACAGAGTGTGTGTCATTAATGGTTGAGGACATCCTTGGGCTAGCCCAAGGTTAGGGGTCTTACTTGGCGAGGCTTCGGCAAGTAAGATTTGACGCCTATGTCCAAATTGGGTAGCTTACGTCAAGCGGATGCTAGACGATGAGCTGTATCTGCCAAGGCTTACGACACCCGAAGGTTAATCATAAGATCATTGTTAATTAGAAGGACGGAAGTCCAACTAGTTAACAGGGGCTTTGCTCGTCGACGAAGTCGATGAGTAAAGATCGAGACTATAGGCTTATCCGCAAAGAGCAGATAAGAAGATAGAATATAGACTGCTGGCTAGGCAGAAAGGATCACTCTGGTGAGAGTAGGAGGTCAAGAACCAAGTAGATTCAAGTTAGGGGATATGGTACATGATAGCGAGTTTATATAGAGGACAGGAGGCGTATTAGTGGGTGATAACTCGTACTACCAAGTGAAGTAACCAGTGAAGGGCATAACCATAAAAGGAAGGCACGTTCGGGGTGAGACACGGGTGAACCAGAACGTGCTTGATAAGAAAGTGAGTCAAAGGTCAAAATAAGAAGTGAAACGCGCAGGGGCACGATCGTGCAGCTGTGGAGCTAAGTATAAGTCGCATGTGCGACTGCGCACCAAGTCAGAGATCAAGAAAGGGAAAAGGGCAAAGGGGATGCGTCGTGCATCATATCATAGGTTACCGTCTGGACGGTAAGGGCAAGGGGACTGTCCACAGGATCAGTCAGGTGGTGGAACAGAGCATGGGTATGCTTCGTCAGCGAAAGGATCCGGCCAGATGTACTGGCTCTGCTGAAGCGACAGATAGAGAGCGAAGGGGAATGCGAGGATGACAAGGATGACCAGGGTAAGGTCGGAGTAAGGGTGTGATGCAAGGGCTGATACGAGGAGGATTAGGAGAAAAATGGTAGGGGCCCAAGCATCTAGATGTTCTTGTAACAGTTATGCCTTTCCTGAATAGGTGAATGTGGTGGTTGGGAGGTAATCTTTGGCACCTCGCATCAATCCTGGATGGTCCACATGCCTGCGCGAGCCAGCTTAGAAGGTGCTTAACCAGACCCTGGTACAGCTGGTGGAGAATGTTGGGTGTGATGGCCTGGAATATGTTGGCATAGGGTACAGTGTAACTCACTCAAAAGTGGCAACTACCAACATCAAAATTTGTAATTCTATCCACACCTTCAGAAAGACAACTTTCATCTTGAAAACATTACAAATGGGCTATGGTAGAGTAGTATAGTAAGTCTATCAGAACACTTTTTCATAAAACTCAAGTTTCATAATTTTCGTCAGCCAAAAGTGAACTTCGAGTGGAGCTTGTTGGAGTTTCCTATTTGGGTATGCGGCATCTGACGGCTGACTCCGTGATTACTTGAGAACACCCAAACTCATTAGTAATGTAGTATGTACTGTACATGCGATTTGTACTTCTTAACAGCGAATTCAGCTTGACGGGCATCAGGACTTTTCCTGAGACACTGAGAAAGAACTATGAGCTATATATATATATCGCTGTGTAATATGAGACTGAATGACAATGCTCCATAAAAGTTGGACACAGAGTCTACTTCACTTTCAGCATCTGAGACAGGCACATAGTCTGTGTCCAGAAAGACTTCTAAAACATCTTCTATCAGCCCATTGTCAAAGCACCTCGATGGTGAAGTATACTGCTGCTTCACTTGCTTCTTTTGGTAGGTGAAGCCATTTGATGGCAAAAGTGAACAATTACATAATCAAGCGAAATTTCGGAAATTTAGATTTATGCTCCATTTGTCTATGTTTCCTATCAAAATTTTAATCTGAGCATGTATGGATCAAAATTGCAACCTAGGGAGAGTTGCCATCCCTTGGTGACAGACACTGTAGTCTTTTCCAAAATGGGTGAACAATGGGCTTGATGCCAGCATCACGACACGCCTGTATGAAATTGAGGCCCCCGATATCAATCATAGCGAGTGCATCAAGAACGGTGTTGAGATCATGTATCTCAAAGGGAGTTGTGCTACTCTCCAGTTCATTGGCTGGGATATCACATGTAGGGCACTCTGTAGTTTTGACTGCAGCAGCAAGCACTTGTTCGGGGTAATTGCCAATGAAACAGGCAAATAGAGGATGACAGTGGCATGAGATACCATCACCACTGCGCATAGCTAGGCCATCAAGACCAGCATTTTTGAGTGGTGACAAAACACGTGCCATGCACGCATGATAGAGATTTGCTGCACTTCGATGACATGAGGCTCTGTTGTCGATATGTTCCAGATGGGAGGTGGGAAGGTATGCGAGGAGGACATGAGCACGTTGGGATGGTTTGCGTTGAATCTCCTTAGGGATGTTTCTGATGGTCAGGTAGACAGGGTATGCAGTTTTGTCACAGAATAGTGTCACCTGAGTTTTGTCAATTGAAATGATAACAGGTATGATGGTTGCTCCTGGCCGCTGCTCGTCAAGCTTCTTCTGTTTGCGTTAAGGTTAGTTAATAGCAATGTAATACCACACGAAGTTCTTACCTGCATGTTCCACCACCATGTACCTGTGTTCATGTCACTGTATAGTTAAACTGTTTCATCATTGTTGGTGTAATGGCGCTCTGGCGCAAAAACGAGGTAGTCCGCCAAGTCTGGGTCGCTATATAGTTCCTTGATGCATTCCATGATGTCTCAATAGTGAATATTAAAAGATTCTCCTGCAACAATGATCTGTTCATGGCGAAATTTCGGACGACCAGGGAGTTGTTTATCAATGATATTATTCAACTCCCTTGAATTTCTGTAAGAAAGGTTAAGGTGTTAGCTAACCTGTGAATGAAGATTTGTCACATCTGAGTTGGTACTTTGAAAAGATCACTTAAACCATCAATACCAAGCAAATCCAAAAAGGCTGTTGAGCTCGGGCCATGTAACTTTGCCCACTGTGTGTTAGTTGTGTGGTGACTTCACACTAGATAGGTCGAAGACTTCTAAGACTTCGAAGACTTGAAGGACACTTCAAGGACATTACTATATTAGTAGATAACTTCGAGGACTTCGAGGACACTTTGAGGACAGACCTCTAAGACACTTTGGGGACACAGTCTATTCAGCTGGCGAGGGCACAGTGGTATTCAGTCCAGTCATTAATGGGAGGCGTGTCGAAGCTGTAGAATTCACTAGAGTCCTTCATGTACCAGATTTGCGAAATAATCTAGGAACCAGAAAATGCGCTCTGTGCTCGAGTCTTTGGGCTACACTCAGTCCTACTCGGACGCGTCCATCTACATCTATCTAAAGGACAATGTAAGGATCATTCTGCCAGTCTTCGTAGATGACATGACCTTTGCTTCGAAATCCGCTGCTGCCATCGACCGCACCATCAAGGAGCTCTCCCAGCACTTCAAGCTTCGCGATCTCGGTCCCACCACTCAGCTTCTGGGCATCAAGATAGACAGAGACTGGTCTAAACACTCCATCACCATATCTCAACAGCAGTACTGTCTAGACATCCTCGAGCGTTTTGGCATGGCTGATTGCAAGCCCATATCCACTCCCATGCAGCCCAACCTTCGACTCAGTCGCTCCCAGAGCCCCCAGATGCCTGAAGAGGTCCAGCTCATGAAGACCGTCCCATACCTAGCTGCAGTAGGTATTAGAAGAACTGAGAGTTCAAAGTCAATGCACTTGATATTATTGTGTAAATAAGTAAAGTACTGTACCTGAGAGTTCAAAGTCAATGCACGAAGCATGTAAGACTTGTGAACTCTGCACTATGGGCGAGTCTATGTAAACAAATATAAACAATTCCTAGTATGGTATGTGTCCCCAAAGTGTCTTAGAGGTCTGTCCTCAAAGTGTCCTCGAAGTCCTCGAAGTTATCTACTAATATAGTAATGTCCTTGAAGTGTCCTCAAAGTCCTCGAAGTTATCTACTAATATAGTAATGTCCTTGAAGTGTCCTTCAAGTCTTCGAAGTCTTAGAAGTCTTCGACCTATCTAGTGTGAAGTCACCACACAACTAACACTCCCCCCTGACTGAACACATCTCTAATCTCTAACAACTCCCCCCTCATCTGTGTAGTCCCATCATCCTGCAAAATAGTTCCACCTTGGGTCGACTCAAAGACTTTGTCAAGATGTCAGCTGGCTGATCAGCTGTGGGCACAAATATAGGCGCAATTATCTCTTTGTGAACAACGTCTCTGAGCCAATACCAACTAAGATCCAGTTGCTTCATCCTCCCATGGTGTTCTGGGTGTTTGGCAACAGATATGGCGCTCTGGTTGTCTATTCTAAGTATGGATGGTGCAGTGGTGGAGAATCCCATCTCCTGCAGCAAGTTTCGCATCCATCGGATCTCCTTGCCTGCTGAGACTGCAGAGATGTACTCTGCTTCGGTAGTAGATAGCGCAACAATGCTTTTTAGCTTAGAAGACCACGAGACGACTCCAGAGCCGATCTTCACCAAGTATCCACCAGTGGAGCGCCCTGTGTCCTTGCATCCACCATGATCAGCATCGGAATAGGTTGAGAACAGTTCGGTGCTTGATGGATCAGGCGCATAAGTGATCTTGTAGTCGGCAGTACCTCTGAGATAGCGAAGCAGGTGCTTGACAGCTTGCCAGTGAGCTAATCCTGGATTCGAGTTGAATCTGGCAAGATAACCAACAGCGTGGGCAATGTCTGGTCGAGTTGTTGTTGCCAGGTACATCAGGGCGCCTACTGCAGCTAGGTATGGGACGGTCTTCATGAGCTGGACCTCTTCAGGCGTCTGGGGACTCTGGGAGCGACTGAGTCGAAGGTTGGGCTGCATGGGAGTGGATATGGGCTTGCAATCAGCCATGCCAAAACGCTCGAGGATGTCTAGACAGTACTGCTGTTGAGATATGGTGATGGAGTGTTTAGACCAGTCTCTGTCTATCTTGATGCCCAGAAGCTGAGTGGTGGGACCGAGATCGCGAAGCTTGAAGTGCTGGGAGAGCTCCTTGATGGTGCGGTCAATGGCAGCAGCAGATTTCGAAGCAAAGGTCATGTCATCTACGAAGACTGGCAGAATGATCCTTACATTGTCCTTTAGATAGATGTAGATGGACGCGTCCGAGTAGGACTGAGTGTAGCCCAAAGACTCGAGCACAGAGCGCATTTTCTGGTTCCTAGATTATTTCGCAAATCTGGTACATGAAGGACTCTAGTGAATTCTACAGCTTCGACACGCCTCCCATTAATGACTGGACTGAATACCACTGTGCCCTCGCCAGCTGAATAGACTATGTTGTTGTCTGCGAGCTTGATGGGGACGCGTTTGGGCGCATAATTGCGCAGCCAGTGACGATGGGGGGTCATGTGAGAGGTAGCACCTGTGTCTGCATTCCAGTCAGCATGTGCATCGAGTTGCAAGGGGCAAAGTGGATGAGATGGGTCAAAAGTGCGAAGACTTGCATTACCAGCAAATTCCGTGACCTGTTGGGCGCTCTGGGAGGTGTTCTGGGCAGTGGTCGAGTTGGAGGTGGGTGCAGCGGTGTTGGGAGAGGGTGTAGACGCTGCGGACGATGATTGGGACGCCTCAGAAGCCTTGTTAGCGCTCCTTCCACCTTTTCGACCATTGTTTTTGGTCTTGGGACGATCCTTATCACCTTTAAGACTCCTGCACTTGTGGGTGCAGTGACCAGGCTTCTCGCAGTACCAGCAGGTGACAGAGGTGCCGCATCTACAGTCTCCAGACGCAGTAAACAGCGCTGCATCGGTCCCAGAACCTTCAGGACGTCTCCTTCTTTGGGTTTCCTCAGCCAGGAATGCTGCCTTCAGTTCCTCCTTGTCCAAGGACTTGAGTAGCATCAAAGACGACGCAAAATTGGAGTACTCCTCGCCCAGGGAACGAACCATGGTCATGCAGACCAGCTCTTGATCGAGTTCCTTGATGGTGTAAGGCTTGGATGGGTCTGAAGGTCGAAGCTCCTGGACTTTGGACATGCCATCTTCGATCCTGGCAATGAGGGTGCTCAAGGACTCGTCAGGCTGCTTCCTAATAGAGAAGAAGTCGTCCCAGGCATTGAAGCGCGCGCCAGGACGCTTCTGGAGGTGCGTGGAAGCCAGGGTGGTCCAAATCTTGACAGGATCGTCCTGGACAGCGTCGATATGGGTCCTTTGCTCTACAGAGCACGCCAGATACAGCTCCCCAGCTGCCTTGTCTGCCTTGGTGTCCCACTTTGCTGCAGCTTCTGTCTCTGTAGGTCGAGTCTCCATGCCATTGACGAGCAACCAGAGACCCTTGACTCAAAGATAGGCCTTCATCTCACCCTTCCAGGTAGCATAGTTGGTAGAGGTGAGTTTGGTGACAGTGCAAATAGATTTCGAGTCTTCTGAGGACATGGCGAAGGAGACGGCGCAGTTTTGCAGCAGTAGGACGAATTAAGGGCAAGGGCTTGGTAGAATTTGAAGGAAAGGCTGTCTTTGCTGATTTTCAACAAAGAGAGCAAGGGATAATGGGTGGGGAGAGTGCACCAGTGGCTGGGTGCGAGAGGAGGGAAAATGCGCACTAAGTTGGCCCAAAGACAGTGAACTCCAGCGACAGATTTGACTGCTAAAGTGCAGGGCTCATAACCTGTTAGAAGAACTGAGAGTTCAAAGTCAATGCACTTGATATTATTGTGTAAATAAGTAAAGTACTGTACCTGAGAGTTCAAAGTCAATGCACAAAGCATGTAAGACTTGTGAACTCTGCACTATGGGCGAGTCTATGTAAACAAATATAAACAATTCCTAGTATGGTATGTGTCCCCAAAGTGTCTTAGAGGTCTGTCCTCAAAGTGTCCTCGAAGTCCTCGAAGTTATCTACTAATATAGTAATGTCCTTGAAGTGTCCTTCAAGTCTTCAAAGTCTTAGAAGTCTTCGACCTATCTAGTGTGAAGTCACCACACAACTAACAGATGTGTCATGCATCATATCATAGGTTACTGTCCGGACGGTAAAGGCAAGGGGACTGTCCACAGGATCAGTCAGGTGGTGAAATGGAGCATGGGTATGCTTCATCAGCGAAAGGATCTGGCCAGATGTACTGGCTTTGCTGAAGCAACAGATACAGAGCAAAGGGGAATGCAAGGATGACAAGGATGACAAGGGTCAGGTCGGAGTAAGGGTATGATGCAAGGGCTGATACGAGGAGGATTAGGAGAAAAATGGTAGGGGCCCAAGCGTCTAGATGTTCTTGTAACATACAGAAGTGTCACAACCCAATAACGAATTAACGCTGGGCAGAGACTAGGACTCAAACGAAGGTTATCGGACGAAGAGGATAATGAGCAAATACGTCTTGGATTGCTACAATGTAGATACAAGAGGTTTGAACTAAGGAACTATCGACCAAGACATGCTACCTATATACAACTATTGAGACGGAGATTGAAACTGAGTTACAACTACTAGCCAATCATAAAAAGAGAAAGGGAATTGTACCATAGAACATCGTAGAATATTAAAGAAGCATCACGTGACCATATCTTATCTTATCGTATCTAATCTAATCTATTCACAATCAAAGAACTCGTCTTCTTCATCAGTCACATCAAAGACA